AAGAAACATGGTCCTGCATCTGGAGTGAGAGAGGGGAAAGAGAGAGTGTGCTTGCCTCACACTATGGATTTTTGTGTAATTGGGTCAGGACTGATAGACACAAGGAATATAAATCCTACCAATAGATTTAGAAAATGTTCTGGGTAAGGTTGTGCCGTGCTTCATTCTAAAATCTCTGGCAAAGGCTGTAGAATGTCTAGGGACATTCAGGAATATTGCTTTCATTTCTGGAGGCATGGAGTTCCCAGTGAGACTTGGTCTTCCTCCCAGGGTAGCCCTGTTCCCAGTACATGTGAACAGCCATGCCAGGACTCCTTGTGGAAGTGTTGTGTTGTGAAACAGTCACACCTCCTTTTTGCTCAGTAATACCAGGGAGGTTGGGCAAGGCCAGGCATAATTTATTTCTTTACATGAAGAATATGGCAGGCTTGGCTGAACAGAGAGATTAATCTGCTGCAGTTGATGCACACAATCAAACAAATGGGAAGGTCTCTTGAACCCTTGGCGGTGGGGTTGGGCCTGCACACGCCTGGGTGAAGTGACATTTTTCCGGCAGCAGCATGAAGACTAGATGGAGGCAGGAACTGGGATCTGCCTGGTGTAGCAAAACGTGTAAATGTTTTGCTGTACCAGCATGGAAACATTTCTATTTTGCATCAGGCAGCAAAATGTCTTGGGCCGGCACAACTTTGCAAGTTAAAGAAGCAGAGCCATTTCTATTTTGGTTATTATGGACAGTCTTGTTAGTGATGATGGTGCCTGAGGACTTCAGGCTGGAATGTGACAGGAGCAAAATGCTTCTAAGTGCCAGGAGTCAAGCTGTAGAACATGGGATGCAGTCAGTGCATGTGAATGCTGCTGCTTTTTGCCATTAAATAAACATATATGGGATTGGGAAGAGTGTGTCTGGGCTAAATGGTACAGTCCCCAAGCAAGGAAACACTGACTCCTGTGATCAATAAGAGGGAACATAATATGCTGGATAGAGCTTTTTCAGTTTCCCTCACTTAAGTGTTGATTTCAGTACTTTCTAATATGCAAGTATTGTAAAGCAGGACCCATTAAAATGTCAGTAAACAAATAGAAACCTTAGCAGTTTCAACCAACCCATGATCATCATCACCATCACCATTACTGCTAAATAGCATAAAAAACCCCCAAAATTATAATCTCCTTAGAACCAAAAGTCTTCCTAAACATAATGTTGTTAACCGACTTTTAAGAAACTAGGAGAGAGCAGGCGGGCTTCTTTAGTAGGAGAATTCTAAAGGCCAGGTCAGGGTGCCACCACTGAGAATGTCCTGAATCTTACTGCCTCTGTCTAGATGGCCTATGGTGGTGGTACACACAACAAAACCTCTAGACAGATTTTAAGGCCTGTGGTGATTTTAAGGCCTGTGGAAATTGATGCCATTTTCCATTGATGCCATGCACCAAATATATTTTGTTTTTTCTTTAGAATAGGAACAGCTTACTGTGTAGCAGGGTATTGTTTATGCCCAAACCTTTGTGTTAAGACCAGCTTTGATTCCTGCCTTTGAGACATGTCCCTGCAATCTAAGTCCATTTATTACTCATATACTTTGAGGTAGCTGTTGGGAAGGCAGAGACTGAAATCTATTGATAAAATCTATGTTTTATCAGAAGTTGTTGCAATTCCTCATGCAGCCATCGAAGTGTTCCAATAGAACCTCCCATAATCCCTTCTGTTGTGAGTTCTTGTATAGGTATGATTATACTTCATTCTCCGGCAAACTAGGTTGTAGCTGTTTAATTTTTAAAAATGCCTCAGTACACAACCTTCTATTATGGTTTTATTGCTGTTTGCCCCAATTTATGCTTTAGCCTCATAATCCCAAACTGTGTACTTCAAGCCTTGCTTCTAGTCAAGCAATTTGAGCCTTATGTTGCCTGACATGTCTTTGAGAATCCAGATATTTCTATTTAATGTTCCCATAAATCTTTTACATTTCTTCTACATGGCATGGTGAATACTACTTATATTTCAGTTGCTAGAAGAGGAAAGAAATTCTGGTAGCTTTTAAAATGTTACCTGCAATTCTTCACAGTACTCACACTGCTGCATGTTGTAGCCACTGAGCTGGTTTGCACATAGTAACAACCCATTGGTTTAAAAATGTTCCATCCTGGTAAAAATGTTAGGAAGAGTGGAGTAGAAAAGCCAACAAAAGATGAAGAGGAGGTTTACAGACCCCCTTAAAATATATTTCAGGACAGGTCTAAAATAAAATATGTAGGAACTCTGGGGTCCCTGTCAGTATGGAATTCTCAGAAGAAAATCCCCATGGGAATATAGGCCAGCTGCATTGCTGCCTGTGGGCAGGGCTGTGCTCCACATTTTCATCCCCTACTCATGACTAAATGATACAAAAAATATGTACCATCAATTATATTTTGCAGAAAAGAGGTGTTTCTGCGTTCCAGGAGTTTATTTTGATAGTAGGGCAGAGGAATGTGAGGAAATGCAATTACACACACTTGGGCTTGGTTTTTGCTGAGAATGGGAGTAAAGGGTTAAGACATAGGCTTTGCAGAAAAGGCGTTTTTTCGGCAAAAATCTAGAATAGGGGGTGGCACCCTGTAACATTAACAAAAAAAACCTGCAGGATGCTGAATGGTGGCCTTCCCCAGCCTGGTACACCACAGACGTGTTTGGGTATGACTCCTATCATCCCTAGCCAGCATGCTGGCTGGGATTATAGGAGTTATAGTCCAGTATATCTGGAGGGCCAGGGAAGGCTGCTGTGCAGAATGCAGAACAGGCAGCGTGCCTTACCCTGCAATGAGACAGGCCCTTTGGAGTGCCATGATTCCTCCTCCTAGCTCTCCCATGAAGTGGCTGGTGCATGGAAGGGCGTTTCTTTGCACACTGCACATTGCTGCCACTGTCTTGCCAGAAACCCTTTCCTTGCCTCAGTGGCTGTTACGAGGGCCCTAGTTATAAGGCTGCCTTCGCCCTCGGCTGCGATGCAACAGGGCCAGACCAGTTTTTGTTCCACACACACCCCCTTGAGTCAATGTGTCCTGTTGCCTAGCAACTGCTCGGCTGATCTGCTGCTGACTCCCACCCACCTGGCGGTGTGAGGAGCTGGGCTGGGCCGGCAGGTGTGGTGCCAGCTGGGCTAGTGCTGCCTGACTCGGCATGTTTACAGTCAGGGCTTGCACCAGTGGCAACAAAGCCTGCTGCCCACCTGCCCGCTCTGTGAAGGGGGAAGGTGAGCGCGGCACTGCCAGGCTCAGAGAGGACCCAGGCAGGAGGCAGGAAGGACCTGAGTGACGGAAGTCTGTGCTGCAGAGCGCAGGCCCCAGTCCAGCCCACATGTCTGGTTGTACACCATATGGCCAGTGCTTCAGGAACTGGAATAAATGGAGCTTTGTAGATGGAGAGGGCATGGACAGGAGGACAGAAATGTGTTCACTTTTGTACTCCATTCCTTCGTCTGCCATTGCTTCCCATTCAGAAGCAAATGACCTGCAGAAGATTGTAGTTTGCTGATGAAGTCCATTCTGTGCCTTGTGGGGTCACATTTGGGCTCCCCCTTCCCAAGGTTTGGGAAAGCAGGGATACTGCATCTCTGGTTGGTGTGGAGATGCATGTCCAAGAGGAATGAACTGGTGTATTGCTGATTTACCATCACTATCTAGCACGGTTATTTGTTGGTCATTGTTGGAATGAGTAATTTTTTAATTATTACATCTCATTTACATACAACATTTTTACCTATCTAACTAAAATATACGATGGTGCCCATACACAGAGGGTGCTTTAATTAACCGTGAGCCTGCTAGAGCACCGGTGAAGAACCTCAGTCCTGGGATCCCAATCTGGCCCTGTGGACTCTGCAGAAGGCCATGACCCTTCCTCCTGGCCCCATCCTCTTTTCTCTGGCCACCGATTATTTAGTCATTTGCTGACTTTTGTACAGTTTCTCCCACATTCCAAAAGGTTGAAATGCCTCTCCTCAGGTTTAGTTCCTTGCAATAAGGGGTTTAAGCTAAGCTATGCCAATATTAGGGACTGCAGGTGGCGCACTGGGTTAAACCGCTGTGCTGCTGGGCTGGTTGATCGAAAGGTTGCCAGTTCGAATCTGCACAATGGGGTGTCCCAGCTCCTGCCAACCTTGCAGTCCGAAAGCATGCAAATGCAAGTAGATAAAAAGGCACCACTTCGGTGGGCAGGTAACAGTGTTCCGTGCACTTTGGTGTTTAGTCATGCTGGCCACATGACCATGGAGACTGACTACGGACAAACGCTGGCTTCCTCGGCTAGGAAACGGAGATGAGCACTGCCCCCTAGAGTCAGGCATGACTGGACTTACTGTCAAGGGGAAACATTTACCTTTACCTTATGCCAATATTTGGGCCCTGCCCCCTTTTGCCTTCAGGCAACCACTGCTGTGCAGCCTCAAAGAACTTCTCTGAAATGGAACCTGACCCTCAGGCTGAAGAAGGTTCTACAACCCTGTTCTGGGGTTTGGGGCTGAAATGGGAAGGGTTTTTGTCCCTCAAGCCTTGTGAGATCCAAGCCCAGGCCAGAAAGAGAATCTGGTCTTTGGGCACAGGGACTGACTGGGGTTCTTCTGGCTTCCAGTCCCAGGCATTATTTATTTACTTTTTTATAGACCATCACAACAGCCACATGGCTCTCTGGACAGTTTGCACAATTAAAAGCCATCAACAAAGCATAAAAACCAACTTATTAACAAATTCAATATACAACTTCAGTACCAATAAAAAATCCATTCCAGCAGCAGGAGCACCAACCGTGTTGGCATCATACATTAACAGATTGGACAGCATCTTATAAATAACAAATGACATATTAAAAGTAATCATTTAAGGCAACAACCGAAAACTGAAATTAAATTAGAATTAAAACTGACAACAATGAAAAAGTCTTTGCTCAGCCTTTTGCCTCTCAGCAGACATTTTTAGTGACTGACTGACCATTTTTTCCTTCTCTTTCTCATTTTTTACAGGGTGATCTAGCCAAAAAGAAGATCTATCCAACCATCTGGTAAGTCCTTTCTGCTCTTAATGTGGTTCCTCCATCAAACAGGTACCTGTCCTTGCATCATGAGCAGCTTGTTCTTCTGTGTAGGTGGCTGTACCGTGACGGTTTGCTTCCTGACGACACTTACATAGTGGGCTATGCCCGGTCCCAGCTCACGGTTGATGACATCCGGAAACAGAGTCAGCCATACCTCAAGGTCAGGCTTCTTTTTTTGTCCATTACCTTGGCAGCCCATGACTTCCCTGGGACTTGGCTCAAGCTCTTGCATTTGCTGCATGGCCACTAGGAATAGTAGCAGATAAGCAGGCCCTCTTTGCCTTCCTGAGGGTGACACACAGCTGCTGTCTTCAGACAGCTGAAGCGGGGGAAATACTCGCTTAGGTTGTAAAAGATGGCAAAGGACAGGTTGCCTTTGTTCTCATAGAATAATAGATGTTGCTATCATTTTAGGCCAATCCTGGAGAAGAACAGAGGTTGGATGCTTTTTTTGCCTGTAACTCATATGTCTCTGGAAAGTATGATGACCAGGCCTCCTTTGAACGGCTCAATGCGCATCTGAATTCCCTTCACAATGGCAAAAAGGCAAACCGTCTCTTCTACTTGGCTCTGCCACCTAGTGTCTATGAGCATGTCACTGCCAACATCCAGAAGACCTGCATGAGCACTGTGTAAGGTTTAGGCCTGAGAGATGGGTTGTTGGGGGAGGAGGGCAGTGTGTCAGGTCTACTATGGGAGACTGGTAGGTGTCTGAATGTTCAGAAGGATGGGAGGCTGCTTTTGATCATGGGGAAACTGTAGCTAAGAAGGAATCCTGTTGATAGTAGCATGCTTAGGGTCATTGTCAAGATATTATTTAACCATGCTTGAGAAGGGAAGGACAAAGTTTACTATAAGGCAGTCTGCAAACCAGCTCTGGAGGACCACAAACCATTCCCTGATTTCTGCCTGCTGACCCAGCCCTGCCCATTTGTACTCAGAACAGACTCTTGCAGGCTCTCTTGAACTTGTCAGCAGGGTACAAAGGATAAGAGGACGAGTGAATTTCCCCCTGACTCAGATCAACAGTGGGCCAGCTGCATAAGCCATGCCAGTCCTGTGTTGATTCCATGATGCTCGTGTGTCTGTATGACTCTTCTCCCCTTCTGTTCCCTTTTGGGATTCTTAACCTCCTGGGCACAGAGCAAGAGAAAGGATTTTGAGGCAAGCATTCTGCTTCTAGATTTGAACGTATTACCCTTGAACAGGCTCAGGTGTCCATTCTTGTGCTGCAGGGCAGCTCAGTGCTGATTCAGGCATGATGAATTGGCTCCAGTTTGCAAATACTGAACACTGCTATGCCCAGTCCACTCTCAGAAGCTATGTAACATGGGGAAAGTAAGTTCTTGGAAGGTGCAGCAGCATTTATGAGGCCAGCTTGATCCCAGCTTATGGACCTGGAACTTTGCCCACATTGTACTGCACATACAGATACCTCCCTGCCATGAGCAGATGGATATTCATGCATATTGAATTCTGTTCTTGCCTGTGAAAGGCAGAGCTGATATACACCTTGCACAAACATTAGTTGTAGTATTTGACACAAAACCCAGTTTCCTGTGTCTCTCTTTTTTGAAAGGGTCAGGGTGCATAGATAGTTTGTTTGAAGTCATAAGGGAAAACAAACAGTCCCTGATGATCTTAGAGGCTAAGCAAGATCCGCTGTGCTCATGGGATTAGATTTCAGTGCCCTACAAAGTACCTTAAGTCTCACCAAAGCTTGCAAAAATAGAGTGAATGTTGGAAAATAAAGCATGCTTATGGAAATCTGGTTGATTTGCATAACCTTTTGGGTGTATGTGTGTTGGGCAGCATTAGTTAAGAGAGGACTAAGACTCACTTGGCTTTGTCTCCATTAACTTGCAACATCCACTTATAAAAAACTGATTTTGTTGCACTTCTAAACCTTCCCCTGCCCCCATCCTCAGTGGCTGGAATCGTGTGATTGTGGAGAAGCCTTTTGGCAAGGACTTGGAGAGCTCCAACAAGTTGTCGGATCACATCTCAGCACTTTTTAGTGAAGATCAGATCTACCGCATTGACCACTACCTGGGCAAGGAGATGGTGCAGAACCTGATGGTGCTCAGGTAAAGCAGGAACTTGAAGTGTAGTTGTTATGGTGGGCCTACTCCGAGGTTCTGAGCATGGAGCCTAAACTGCAACTTGTTCACTCCCTAGCAGATGCCTTGTAACTTGAATCTGTCTGTCTAATTTAGAGGCACCTTATGACCATGTGCAAATAAACCATCTTTTTAACTAGACATAACCTTGTTGAGTGGGACGCAGCTATTAAACAACAAAGGGTCTTTTATTCTATTGACCAACTAGGGCATGCTGACTCAGGCCATCTTCCAATTGCATTGCAGGTTCGGGAACCGGATCTTTGGCCCCATCTGGAACCGTGACAATGTAGCCTGTGTTATTCTGACCTTCAAAGAGCCATTTGGCACAGAGGGCCGGGGTGGCTACTTTGATGAGTTTGGCATTATCCGGTGAGACAGTGCTGGGGGCAAGGGTGGGAGGTCACCTTTTTCATGTATTTGGGATGTGTGTGCAAACCATTGGTCTAATACAACACACAACGGTCATAGCATTCAAATAACACAAGACTTCCAATTCTCTCCATAGCAGAAAAGGGGGTTAACCTGTGTCTGAAATATGCCATTTCATATTGTAGGTAGAACCACCACATGGCTGCATGCTTCCGTGGGGGAGAAAATCCTGTACAAAGAAAAGTAGCGTATAGTCATTTTGCATTCTCACTAATGTAGTTTTCTGTGTGCAGGACAGAATGAGAGAAAGAGGTATCAAAACAGCTATAAGGATGGGGAAAATGCTGGGGAGGTTCTTGATTCTTCTCACACTCACCAGTTCTCCCCTACAGATCCTCATTACCTTACTTTTTAGTTTCAGGTACTGTTTGTGGAAAATTGAATGAAAACAGCTGATCTGCAGGCTTTCTGCAGAACAGAATCTACTGGTGGGGGAGAGCTTAAGTACTCACCTGCTGTTTCTTCCCTGCAAGAGCTTCTCTTTCCATAGTCTTTTAGGAATTTCGCATCTGCCAAGATGTTGCATAGTTTGATTCTGGAATTCTCAGGAAGCTGAATTCTGCACATAACCACATGTCCTATACTTTTTCTGCCCTTGGCACATTAATTCTGTATTAGGCATGGGGAACCTTGGGCTTGGGTACTGAATCTGGGGTTCTAGCCCCTCTCCCCTTAATTTCCAATGAGTTGGTGGTCTTCCAGATTTTACACAATTTGCCCCCTTATGCTAAAAGGCTGAAATGCAGAGAGCTTCTCTGAAACTGAATGTGGTCCATCCGCTGAAAGAGGTTCCACACCATTGTGTGCCTTGTAGCTTCATGCTCAACAGCCACTGGTAATTCTTGTGGCTTTTGCACCAACACGTCCTCTGCTGCTTCTGGTAGTTGCTAGTTCCAACTGCCGTTTTGGTCTCAAGACACACTGCATCGTAGACAGGGAATTGGGGCAAGCCTCTCCCTCTCCATCTGTATATGGGGAAGGGGATGGCTTGAGGGCTATAACTTACACAGAGTGAGGCTGGAATGACCAGCCATCTGAGAACCTTTGTAGCCAATTCCAGTTACTTCATCTCTGCAGGGATGTAATGCAGAATCACCTTCTCCAGATGCTTTGCTTGGTAGCCATGGAGAAACCAACCTCTACTAATTCCAATGATGTGCGTGATGAAAAGGTAAGTGCAGGTCTATGTTAATGGACAGAGTATCAGACTGGGTATTGCTGTTGAAACCCAGCCCTTCTGACTGAATACCCTTGGGGAAGATAGCATTTCTTTGGCTCAGTTCCCTAAGCTGTAAAAAGGTGTGAACTACCTACCACCTAGCACTTCAGTTATCCTCCCAAGTCTTAGAAAGACCCATTCTCTCTTCTAAGCAAAAACAGAAAAGGTCTTGGTCACAGGCACTGAACAGAGATGCTGGTGCTCTGTAGACTCCGACCACTGATAATGTCAAGACTGGGCCAATTCTTTCTGAGTACAGTGTTTCTTTCCCAAGTGTTTTTAAGAGCTTCTTCAACCAAGGTGGATTTTCTCTGTGTGGTTGTCACTTCCAGGAAATCATGTAGTGTGTGAATGCACTGTCATGCCTGATGATGCACATGTGTATCTCACCATGTATACATACTGGAGGAATCCAGCACCAGCTGAAAAGCATGCCTATTGCTCACATGTGTGGTACATGTAATTTCTGTCCCAGGAAATGAAGTCTTATGTATTTGTAACGTATTTGTATTGAGACCCAGTTCTCAGCCCCCATTCCTAGCTGACTGATCAGTCTAAACCACTGTTGTGAGGGCACCCTTATTTCTTTTGATTATGTCTGATCTGTGAGGATCTCAGACTCTGTCCATGACTTTTTACTAGGTGAAGGTCCTAAAGTGCATCTCAAAGGTGGAACTGGACAATGTGGTTCTTGGTCAATATGTGGGGAATCCAGATGGCAAAGGGGAAGCCCAGAAGGGCTACCTGGATGACTCCACTGTCCCCGCTGGTTCTACCACCGCCACCTTTGCTGCTGCTGTACTCTATGTGGACAATGAAAGGTGGGATGGTAAGTAGGGGACTTTTTGTAGATGGAGGGAAACTAGTGGATCCAATCAGGCCTTGCTATGGGCCTATGGTCGAATATACTTGGAGGCAGCAAAAGTGGCAAAGAACCAGTATCTCAATGCCTCTATGCAGTCCTCTCTCTGCTGCCCAGCAGAGCACTCCAGGGTCATCTTAGAGCCATCTGATATTTGCTAGGCACCTTCTGAATAAAATCTCTTGCCTCTGTTGGCACTTACACTCCACTGTTATCGCAGTGAAATCCGGGGAGATATGCACAGCACAGCCTAGTCAAGGTCTCTTGGATGAGTTCCAGTTCATGCAGCTCAAGGATGTTGATAAGGTGCTTGGTCAGGTTGTGCAACCAAGTCAAGACTGGATCCTTGCCCTCTTGGCTGATAAAAGCCTGCAGGGAGGAATTACTGGCTTGATGACTCTGTACAAGGAGGAGTGGTCCCATGCCACATGAAACAAGGCTGTGGTGAGGCCACTCCTGCAGAAATCCTCCCTGGATCCAGAAGATCTGAATAATTTTAGGCTGGTGGCAAACATCCCCTTCCTGGGCAAGGCCCCTGAGTGAGTGGTGGCCAATCAGCTCTAGGCATTCTTGGATAAGAGTAAATATCTGAATCCATTTCAGTCGGGGTTTTGGCATGGAAACAGCTTTGGGAGAGTGGAAAGGAGAGTGTGACCCTGTCAGTACTCCTGAACCTCTCAGTGGCTTTTGATACCATCCATTATGGTAGCCTTCTGGCATGGCTGGCTGAGGTGGTGGTAGGCCATATGGCATTGCAGTGGTTCTGCTACTACTTGGAGAGCTGTCTGCAGAAGATGCTGCTTGGGTGATATTGCTTGGCCCCTTGGATTCTCCAGTATGGGGTCCTTCAGGGGTCAGTCTTCTTGCTGTACTGTTTAAGATCTACATGAAACTGCTGAGCAGGGTCATCCAGAGTTTTAGATTGTGTTGTCATCAGTATGCTAATGATGTGCAGCCCTGTTTATCCTTTCATCTTCAGCATGTGAGTCTGTGGATATGCTAAACAAGTGCCTGGCTGTGACAATGGACTGTATTGAGGGCTAACAAATAGAAGCTCAGTCCAGTCAAGACTGAGATGCTGATAGTGCATGGTTCTTCTGACTGCATGGAAGGAATTCAGCCTGTTCTAGACGTGGTCACTCCTCTTGAAGGAGCAGGTTCATAGTTTGTGGGTGCTCTTTTGAGTCACCTTTCTCCATTGCGGCCCAGGTGGCCTCAGTGGCAGAGTGATTTCATCCAGCTCTGGCTGGTGGCCCAGCTATCCCTGTACCTGGACAGGAGTCTACACTCCGGTAATCTCTAAATTAGAGTACTGCAATGCAATCTACATGGGACTGCCCTTGAAGATTACTCAGAAGCTGCAGCGTGTGCAAAATGCAGCAGCCAGTTCAATAACTGGGATTGGAAGTTCCAGTCCTGTAACACCAATACTGGCCTGCTTGCATTGGCTGCCTATATGATTCTGAGCCCAATTCAAGGTGCTTATTTTAACCTGTAAAGCCCTACATGGAACACCTCTACCAACCACAAACTACTCATATACTGCAGTCAAGATCTGGGGACTCCCTCTGACTGCCAGTTGGTGGCAACAAGAAGGGCCTTTTCAGTGGCAGCCCCTCAGGTCTGGAAAAAGTTTCCTTCTGAGACTTGCCTGGCACTAACTTTGATATCTTTTCTGTGACAAGTTAAAACTGTCCTCCATGACAGGGAATTTAATTAGTTCGGGGCATTTAGTGAACTGCTAAGTTGCAGGCCTTGTGACTTAATTTGTGTAAGCTATTGTAGCTTTTTAACATTTGGCTTTTACATTCTAAATTGTACTTTTAGGATGCTTTTATTGTTATGTTATGTTGAATTGTATTTTATTGTGCTTTTTCTACTTCTATGAATCACTCCAAGACCTTTGGTTATTGGACAGAACAGAAATATAAATAATTACAGTAACAACAACATCCAGGTGACCCTGGGCTGTGGCACCAGAACTGTGGTGGCAGAGAGAAAGGAGACCGATCCCCAACTCTTCCTCCCCATTTTTACCCTCCTTATCTAGGAGTGCCGTTCATCTTGCGCTGTGGCAAGGCACTGAATGAACGCAAGGCAGAAGTGCGGCTGCAGTTCCGGGAGGTGCCAGGTGACATCTTCCAGCGTCAGTGCAAACGCAATGAACTGGTGATCCGTGTGCAGCCCAATGAGGCTGTCTACACCAAGATGATGACCAAGAAACCAGGCATGTTTTTCAACCCAGAAGAATCTGAGTTAGACCTCACCTATGGCAACCGCTACAAGGTACCTTTACGAAAGTGGTCTTTGTTTTCTGTGGTAAGGAAGCTCCTGGTTCTGTGCAAAGCAACAAACATTTTGCATTCGTAATGAAGCAAAGTGCTTGTTAGCACAAGGCTGCTGAAGGTATATTCCCTGTTCTGAAACTCTAAGTATCCGCAGGCTGTTTATTAGTTTGAGTAGCATCATGTCAACAAGTAGGTTTGAAGAAAGAAGAGATGGACTGAAGTGGTGGTTGATGTGTAGAGAAGCACAGCCTGTTGGAGATTACAAGAGAAGGTGTGGAAGTTTAAGGAGCACAGATGTTGTCCTCCACACTCTCAACTTTCTGAAAAGTGAAACTACAGCTGGTAGATTGTCAGACATGCCGTTACATCCATTGAGGGCTAGAATCTGCCTGAGCATCAGTTGATTAACACTTACTTATTAATTGAATGTGCAAACGAAAGCCATTGAAAGTTCTGTGCTTGTTTCTGCCTTTGGTATTTGATTTGGGATGGCTCTTTGCTTCTAGTGTCTATTACAATGAACAGAGGACCATCCATTCCAGGGACCCGTAACTGTCAACTCGTGGGGGACACACCACTTACTTTTTTCCCTTTCACAGGATGTAAAGCTCCCGGATGCTTATGAGCGTCTCATCTTGGATGTTTTCTGTGGGAGCCAGATGCATTTTGTGCGCAGGTAAGTGGTGGGATCTGTTCAAGGCTCCCATGAAACAGCAACAGAAACAGAACTCAAGACAGACCAAAGGGGAGAGAGAGACAGAGACAGAGCCTGGAACTGTCTTTCCAGGCAAGCTGTCAAATCTGGAGAGTGGGTGGAAACTTGAGTGCTTAAATACTGATCTTGTGGTAATCAGATGGAGGAGGTGAAGATGGGGAAAGGATTGGAGATTGTGCCCTCTTACTTTGGCCAACAGGTTTGGACTGGGAGTCCATTTCTCACACGGACTGAGCAACTGAGGGGGCTGCTCCACCCTCCCACTCCATCCTAGTGGCATGTGCTCATAAATTTATCAGTTTTTGTGTGGGTCAACACATCAGTGTTGATGAGTTTTAGAATCATGTTCCTTTAAAAGAGCAATCCATACAGAGGGCTGTATTTCTCTGTGCCCCCGCACATTCTTTGAACTACTCTTAATTTTGGACAGAAAGGGACTGATCAGCTGGTGACTGGTATTCTGCTATGTTCCACCTAACAGTAGCTGTCTTTATGGCTGCTGCCTTCAACCCAGTCTAATACTGCCTTCCTCCCCTTAGTGATGAACTGCGTGAGGCCTGGCGCATTTTCACTCCACTGCTCCACAAGATTGAGACAGAAAAAATCAAACCAGTTCCCTATCGTTATGGCAGGTGAAGTTTGAAAACAAGGGGATGGGACAGGGCATAAATGCATCAAGTGTCACAGGACTTCCTTCGAAAAGCAGGTGATAGTAGGTTTGACTCAGTTTTGAGGATTCATCAAGGAGAGATTTTATGCTGGCCCTGAACACACACCACACACAAAGAGTTTCTGCCCTTTGAAACAGCCCAGCTCTCCTACAAGAGAACATTGTCCTCTCTTAGCTGAAATATTGGCCTCCCAATAGGTTTTGGCCTAGTCTTTCCATGGAATGTCTACTAGAGGTAGCTTCCATGCCGTTTCTGTACAAAGTGAGAAATTTTCAGGTATTTATCATCATGATTTGATACATTTCTGGGTACCACCTTAAGTGCTGGAAATTGAAGCAAGGGCTGTAGAGGTAAACTAGGGTACCAGAATGCTGAGACCTTCTAACTCAGTAGTGTTAACCTCTTTGGAGAGGAAGTTGCTGGCTCTGCTTCTGAAATGCTCTACCTTTTGAAGGCATGCATATACAGGTGAAGTGGGGATACTAGTGCCTTTGTAACTATGTCCAGGAATCAGCAGAGTCAGGGTGGGATCATTTACCAGATTAATGACTAGGAAGCTTCATGCTGTGGCAATTTCAATAGTAAAAGAAAGTTCTCCACCCCAGTCAAATATTGATATTTAATGTAGCTTTAGTATGCTTCTCCACCCATAGTAAGCCAGAGTGGTAACAACATGGGCTGAGGATGCCAAAAGCCTTGGGTCAGTAACAACTGCCTGGTATGACCAGTGCCATTGTGGGAGAGACCTGCTTGCACCTGCATTTTACTAATTACTGACAGTGAAGCTTCTTCTCTTCTAGCCGGGGCCCTGCAGAAGCAGATGAACTGATGAAGAAAGTTGGGTTCCAGTATGAAGGCACCTACCGCTGGGTCAACCCTCACAAGCTGTGAAGGCTGCCTGTCTTGCTTGGACCAGTGACAGCCGCTCTACCCCACCCTTGTCTGAAGAAGCTGAGTTGGTCAGGTTGGGCAATGGGCTCCCCTGAAGACTGCATCTGAAAAGTGATTGTCTTGTCCTAGCAGCACCTGCTAGGTCTAGGCAGGAGTACACTCCCCCAGCATGAGGTGGGCTGCAGCGTGGGTGGAGCAGTCATCTCCACTGGCCTCCTCATGGGCCTCATAGAGCAGGTGTCTCCATAGATCAGCACCTTCTGCAACACTGGCAGCTGATGGACTAGAAGTTCCATTCCAACCTTTGCTCCTCTTTGTGGAATCATGTTGTGGTGGTGGCGAGTAGGAAGCTACAGAGCTTTCCTCTGCCCCCCACAACTGTATTTGCTGCTCTGCTGATTGCACTAGCTCTGCTTTTGCTGCCTTACTGTTACATTCCTGCTCAGTCTGCTTCCAGATTTTGTATGTGCTACTGTTCTGTAAATTACTACAGAAGTTATTACAAAGAGGCATCCTCGTCCTTGTATTTCTTTGGAGCAGTCTGAGTTTGAAGGTGTTGAGTTTTGCTTTTTCTCTTTCTGAAAATCCAAGAGCCTTTCGAAGGGCTAGATCTTCTTTTATTCCAGCTACTCCATACCAGTATGATATGAAGGTGAATGAGGATGACATCGAGGTAAGATCTGCACAACAGATACAATCGTAGATGCTGCTGTTCTCCACTTGGAAATGGCAGCCTCAGTCAATTGCTGAGATTCATGAGGAGCAGGCCTCTGATCACATACCTTCTGGAGCTGGACCAGTGCACACAGGCACAGGTCCCCAAGCTTGGTCTGCCGGGGTCCACCTGGAAAGATGCTTAGGCTGTGGCTCTCTAGTGGCCAAGCCTCACAGTCTTCTGCTGGAGCTACAGTTCGTGCTATTCTACTCTTCCAGCTGTCCTTCATGTTAGCAGGAAGCCTCTATGATGTGCAGGATGCCTGTTCAATGCCACGAGCAAAGAGATGAATGAGCCGCCCATGTACTCTGAGGAGAGAGAGGTTAGAGGGGAGTAGAAACACTGCAGGAAGAGTAACTGTAGTATAATATCCTCACTTTGAATCCCACCCAGCCACTCTCCTTCCTAGCACCCCCTATAAGCATCTTTGACTCCTGACCTGCTTGGACTTGCTCTAGGCCACACTTCCTGGAAGGCCCCAAGCCCCTTTGTAGCAGGCCTGCTGGCCAGATCAAGCCTTCTGAGCCCTGGCCTCCTGACTACGTGCCCTGTTTGCTGCTTATTGCTCTAACACTTAGGTCCCCAGAGGTCTGCCTGGAGGCACAGGCCTGCATCTTCCACAGGCTCCCAGGCTATGCATTCCACCTTCATCTGCTTCCTTACTTTCCTGCAAAGGATTCTTTGTCCCAGCTAGTCAGAAGACGCACCTAATGCTGATGTCAGCATGGCTTAAAGTCTCGCCATCACAGGTCCAGCAGCTGACTGGAGGTCGTTCCTGGCACGTTCCCCCACACAGTCCCTTGTGTTCTCGCACAGCCAGCTCTGCATCCCCACAGTCCTTTGCTTTTGAGGAGGTGAAACGAACAGCCCGGACCCGGTAGACACTCACAAAGGGCAGGTCAAACTGAGGAAAGCATTTAAAGAGGTTTTGTTTTGTTTTGTTTTAACAAGGAACCTTCCTGCTGTACCTCTAAAGTTGGGTATGCAGTTAGGATCTCAACCAATTTCTCATCCCTGCAGCCATCAAAGAGACAGTGTAGCACCAGTACGAGTTCATACAAAGCTGCCTTATACCTTTGGTCTTTGCAGCCCAGTACTCCACACTTCCAAGTTCTCAGACAGGAAGTCTTTCCCAAAGCTGCTGCCTAGGAGGCATTCTTCTGAAACCTAGGACCATCTCCTTATAAAAGCTTGTGCCTTGGGCTCCAGAACACAGTTACTTACTTTCTTACTTACCTAGGTAAAACTTTCTATATACAGTTTTGAATATTCTGATCCCTTGTAATGTGCAAGATTAAAATGTATAATGTATTTTTCTCCTGCAGTAAATGTGTTTTCTACAGGAGAACAATATAACAGCATCATAAAAATAGTTGAATATATCCAGCAGAAATAATGCTTGCAAAAAGCATGGCAATAGATAGTGGTTTCACTGTCCCTGGGAAAAGGGGCAAGGGCCTAGTATACCCCTTGAGGAAGGAAGCTTGAAAGCCTAGGAGTCATGATGCTGTGTACGCTATAGTCTAGCTTTTAGCAGCCCTGGCATGCAGAGCAAAGTTCCCGCTATGAGCTTGTGTAGCCTCAGATACTTGAATGCATTGAAAATGCTCCCAGTTAATAATAATAAAAAAGAGGCTGGTTTCCACGGCAAGAAAAGGGCACTGTATCCCTCTGGATTTTGGTACCACAATGCCCATCAGTCTTAGCCAGCATAACCAAAGTTGAAGACTGATAGAAGCTGCAGTCCAGCAACATGTGCTCTAATGGATGTTGGGCCCAAGCTGAGGTAAAAAGAGGGTGGAGCTCTTGGTACAGGATGTTACCCACTACATTATATAAAGGGAAAAATGCCCTTTCCCATTTTTGCCTAGGATAGGGGCTTGCAGCTGTCCAAGCAGATGCCATTTAGACATGGTTTCTAACAGCCTGCTACTGAACTTATTCAAGCCCCTTTCCACACATTCTGACCAGTTCAGTCCTTTATGAGGGGCCTAAAAGCTTTCCCCAAAAGATGCTTAAGAGAACCCTACAACAAGCCAGATAGGGTTACACTGGAGCAAAAATAATAAGTGCCTATTTTTACTGAGTTCTCCTTTCACCATGTGGCTATAAGGGCCTTTTTGCTCCCAGTAGAGAGAGATGAGAAGAATGAGGAGGGGGAACCTGTTCCAAAAATGCTTCCCACACCTGGTCCGAGCAATTGGTGTGTCGTGTCAGATGCTTCAGGAAGGACAGCACAGAGCATTCGTGCACCAGGATCAGGTCAGCAGTTCCGTCGGCCAGATGCGCACAGGGTGAGAGACCTTCAGGGCTCTTGGGGCAGGCACTGCTCATGCAGGTCAAGTTAACAGCTAGGAAGCGGCCCTGAACCTGCTGCCATTCACCTCCTGCAGGAAGGAAAAGGAGAAAGAGGCTTAACCTGGGCCATTCTTCCTAAGGCTTAGCAGCTGCTGGAACACCGTGCCTGAAATGTCCAGAACATAGCTCTCCTCCTGACAGTACTCTACTGGAGGGCCTCATCCAGCATAGTAGAATGTTAAGGGGAATATTTAACCAAGATCAGTTTACTGGCGTCTGGAATTCACTTCTTCCAAAAGACTCCCAAGTCATAAACCAGCAGGCAGCCAACAAGCTTGCTGGGAAGAGACCTGAAAAAATAGTGGTAATAAAGTTGTGTATGATGGGATACTTATTTTTGCAAGATAAACTTTTAAAGGAAACGGGACAAAATCTTATGCGTTATTCTTTGTGTGTTATAAAAAATAAAAATCAAATTTTCAAAAAAAAATTCTGACAGTCCTGTCGCCTTGTTACTCAGAAGTGGAGGCAAGGACCCATCCTTTATTACTACAATAGCAGTAACCAAATCCTGGCATTTAAAAGCTATTTTTGGGGCTAAGTCCTGGATTATTAAGCGCTTAACGTGTGAGATTAAAGACAGCACAGTCCATTAGCCTACCACAGGTGGTTCTTTTCATGCTGGCTGGGTTCCAAAGACAGAAGACCATCTCTGGAGCCAGCCTGGGGGAACATTCTGGGGAGGCAGGGAGGGGAAGAGCAAGGACTACCACCATCTGAAGAATCTTGGCCATGCTTCTGCCTCTGTTACACTGACAATCCTGAACATCACACTCCAGCCTTCCATCGGGTGCCCATGATCCACCAAGTTCAGAGAATCTGGGCAGCCGTGTTTGCAGGTGTGCTGGTGGCACAGTCCTAAACAGTTAGGCAGCACAAGTAGCTGGGGAAAGCTGGAAGTCATGGCCGTTTTTCTATCTAAACTTACATAAGATTGAACCTTATATTGCAAATCCATTTGAATCCCCCTTCTGCCATTAACTCACTAGGTGTTCTTCTAGAACGGGCAAGCAGAAAGATTTCCTAATGTTTGGGATTTCATCTTTCAGCATGCTGGACCACTGCACTTGCAAGATGGGGTTTCCAAGAGTTGAACCTCTAAATATCCAGAGATGTACCTTCTTGCCCACTTATTTTAATACATGACTCGGAGTTTATTCTAATGTGCAGTTAGGCAGTTTTTGCAGTTGTAAAAAAAATGTGGATGCTAATTTTTGGTGCAACTGCAAATATGAACTGTCGTATTTTTATTTTTGCCATTGAAAAAATTATGGGAGGTATTCACACACAGGACGGGGGTGTAGCACCAGAGCCTTGTGTAGCTCAAAGCAATGCTCAGAATAAACCGCGGCATGCCCCACCAGCTTGCAGCTTGAGACTGGCACTCCTCATCCTCAACGGGGGGATGGTGGTACTATTTGTTGCCCCTTTGGGCTTCTTACTGTAATGATTACAACAAGGTGAATGTAGGCAAAGTACTTGGAACATTTTTGTCCCCCAAAACACCCAGCACCACCCTGACCTGTTCCCTGAGCTGCAGTCTGCCAGTCAATTTGAAACAATTAAAGGGGTGGGGGCTCGGATAAAAATGGTGCTGGGACAGTATGATGCATCTAAACAATGAAATTTATTTTGCAATCTAATTTTGACTTTCTTCACCCTCCATTGTCCTCCAGATACAATTGCTGTTACATGCTGAGAAGTTATTTTGGATTTACAGAGACCCTATCCATGAAAGCTTTCCAAAATACCCTGTCTTTCACAGCCCTGCTCAGCTCAATCCCAAGATCTCCCTCTCTCACCTGCTTGCTTCTCTGACTTAGACAGCTTTTCTTCCTTGTTTCCAACCAAAATATCTTTGCTAGATTCTGAACAGACCATGCACCTGGAAGAGAGAAGCAGTGTTATGATTACAGCATTTCCCTTTTCAGTCCTGGAAATTTTTGCCCTGTTCTTCCTTTCAGTTTGCTGACATACCCTGCCCGGCAGCGGGTCTGGTCCCGCGGACTGGACTCCTTTGTCCCTGCCAACTGGAACTCCACCATGCCTTCATAGCTACGGTTGTTGAGCACTGCCTTGGCTCCTGGAGAGAAAGGCACAGAAAGTTATAAAGAAAAGCTGTGTGAAAGGAGATTCTGAAGAACTGGAAAACTGATGGAAAACCCAGTTCTTACCTAAGTAAAGAGACTGGGCCAAGGAAAAGGGGGCAAAGTTACATTATGTAAATCATCCATCATGTTTACCGCCAAAAGCACCATCCCATATGTAAAGGTCATTCATGCTTTCAAAATTATTTCCCCAGTCCTTGACAGGTTACCATTTTCCTCAACCTGGATGAGCTATATAGGGGTTAAATTACAATGCCAATTATTCCCAGCCCACATGGGTGCTGCCTAGGGATGCTGTGAGCTCTGTAGTATGATGTCTTTGGGGAGCATCAAGCTTGGGGAAGCTGATATAGATTGTTATAATACAATGGAGTACATTTTTGGGTAATAAAGCAGTAATTTTTATTCTTCTACTGACCAGGCCAGTTCTTGACCTCTGGGATAAGCCGCTGGTCTCTTCCCTGCCTGCCAAGGGGATTTTGCTCTGCACCTTTCACTGTATGCTCCCTCCCCATCCCTTGTGCACCCAGCTAACTTTATGTAATTTTTATAGGCAATCCAAACTCAGCCTTCCCCAGCCTTGTCCCTTCCAGACATTTTGGATTCCACCTCCCAGCATCCTCCAGTCAATATGGTTGGCTGGGAGATGCTGGGGGTTCTAGTCCAACACACCTGGAGAGCACCAAGTTGGGAAAGGCTATTCAGCATCATATACCTGCATAAGTGTAGCGCATTGGCCCCATCCAGCGGTGTTTCTCACTGGCACTCACCACATCACCATAGAAGCCATAACCAACCAAGGAGACCGAGTAGCGCAGAAGCTTCCCATTGTGCCAAATACTGCAGACATCCATGGGCTGACTGTCTCCTAGAAAAGACGCACAGAGGGACTGCTCAGGACCCAGACGCTATTCCCTCCACAGCTGCAGTGATGCTTTTCTTGGTGTGAATGTCCATGCAAAAAAAAAAAAGGTGGTAACGTCTGGTTTAACTAAGGAGATAAGAGCTGTGTTACGTTTCTCGGCAAGAACTGGAGCACTACAACAAAGACCTGTCTGCTCCAGCCCTAACACTGCCTGGTTTCCAGAAATACATGCAGGCACAGCCATGTTGCTGCCCCACTTGCCAGCCTCACTCACAGGTCTTGAAGGGGTCAAAGGAGGTCTTCAGTTGTTCCACTTTAGTGGAGGGGGCGGCTGCAGCTTTGAGGCAGGACCTCCATACCCTGGCTGTGCTGGCTGGAACTAATGGGACCCGCAGCTCAACAACACCTGGTCCACTGTCGGGAGAAATAGCAGAGTAAAGAGTGACGAAAAGGCACCTATGATGATGTGCAGAGCAGAGGTGACAGGGTCATTTGTTCCCACCGTTGCAAAGCAGATACAGTCCGTAGAACCTAGGGGAGAGAAGGAGGACAACATTGCCTGGCGGCCCAAACACACCTGACATTCCCACCCTGACCCTCTAGCCATCTCTGCTTCTGTGGGCACGTATCCCAGCACAAACATGCCTATAAACTTATCAACTTCCTCAGAAGACTTATTTTGAGAACCTCCTCCAAGGGAGTTTTGGGGGATGGCACCAAGGGAGAGGGCATTCTCCTGATTACTGGATGGCCTCTCCAGTGAAGTCCACTTGGTGCCACCAAGTCTACTTGGTGTCATTTCGGACACCATGTTAAGACTTTCTTCTACTGCAAGGCATTTGACAGCACAGACTTTTTAAACAGGCCCTTGGATTTCTATTGTGGATTATGCAAAAATGCTTTATATTTTTGTTTGCAAATTGCTTGATATTATGCTATTATACTCTATTTTCAGGGTTTTGATGGTTGTAAACTGCCCTGAGAGCTTTGGCTACTGGGTGGTAGAGAAATGAAAGAAATGGAATTAAATGAAATGTCCACCGTTCACAGTCTGAAAAGGAAGCTCCCTGTCCCGATCTCCTGGAACTGCTGCCTTCACCTGCAGGTATGATGCCAATACGAAGTCTTGGAGGCAGGAGCTCTCCATCAATGTCATCCTCATGGACCCTTGCTTTTCTCTGTGTCCGTTCAATCAAGGCATGCATCAGCTCGTTGAACGTGCCGTCACCTCCCACACTTAACAGCCTGCAGAGCACGGAGAAATGAGATGGATTAAGTTGGCCACCAAAACAGCCTCTAATGTAGACTATTTTTAAAGACTCTCTTTCCAGACCTAATTTAGAAGATAGTTCCCACATGCTCAGAAACATGTGGTTCTTTAATCGTGCAAGGGTTGAGAACAAACTACAGATTCTATTTTTGAATTGGTTGGGTTTAACGATCAATGGTTCACACATTATGGCAACCCAGATTTCAAAAATTCACACAATGAGGTCATCTTATGGATGAATCAGACCATTCTGTATGTTTTAATAATTTTACAAGCTGCAGCTTTTACATAAAAAGCAAAACTAGGTAGAAGTCTTAAGTCTTGACTTAGTTTTTAAAGTCCTGGTTATAGTCAAAATATTTGCAATTTCTTACTGGATGTTATAAAATATAATCTTAATTTGTAAATAGGTTCAGGAATATACATGTCCCACCATGATTAGGAGCAAGCAGCCAATATAATAGCAATCCTTTCACTTTTATAAGATAAATCCCACCAATATCTATGAAAGTTGCCTTTTGGAAAAAGTTGTCAGGAATAGCTGACTTTTCTTTGGTGTTTGTTATTGCCATCCGCACTAACAGATGACAGCTCCAGCAATATCGCAAATCCACAATTCACTGTATTTGAAGGTGCAAAGTTGTGACGACTACACTTTCATTTTATGCAGTATTGCAGGTTTCAGACAACATTAGCCTAGATATGGCAGGCTCAAAGCCCAGCATTTGGAGGTGGGTAATGTTTCCCCCTTGTTCAGGTGGGCTACAGAACCTGGAGAAAGAGATGGATGGATGGGTCTGCCCCCTCCCTTTGTAGTGTAAGATTCCCGTTCCTGAGGGCCTTGGGCAAGCCTAGACCTTCCAGCTCTCTGTCTCTGCCTGCTCCCTCCAATGTGGCTTCCACTCCCCCTCCTATTCTTGCTCACAGCTTCCACCTGCTTGCTTGTGGGAAAGGGAGTGAGGCCACCCCTTGTACTGCCTTCTGACCAGCATTGTTACCTGGGTTAAAGGGAGAGGCAGGTGAACAAGCAGGTTACAATGGTGAAGAGACACAAGTTGGGAGAGGGGCTTATCAGCAGGCCCCCAGTGAAGTGGAGTTCCTTGGCAGATGCCCCCCAATGCCTACCTTTGACACCAGCCCTGGCATGGCATCCTTTGAGGTACCTGAAGGTATCTGGCCTGCAAGCACCTTTCTGTAGGATTCCTGCAGTCTGCTTGAAGCCCAAGTAGGCGTGCTGAATGTGCAGCCAGAGGCCACTGGAGGGCAGGGGAGGAGATGCAGGCAAACGCCTATGAGAAGTCACTTACCCATCGAAGTCACACAGGTCTTGCTGCAGGATGTAGTCACGAGCCTCCTTGGCATGGCAAGTCTCTAGGGGAGGGAAGAGGAAGCCCTCATTACAGGACTGCAAGGAAGGACGGGCTGAGAAAAGCATACTACCGGGACAGAGGAGAGGCCCACATTGGAACGGTGAGGGAGGAGGAGGAGAAGGATGGAAAAAAGACTCACCTACAACTTGAACATAGATCCCAGCCAGGGCAAAGAGTGGGGCCACCTGACTTCGGTAGATCTCCACAGCCTGCTTGCGCCCCCCAAAGGGGTTGATGAAGGCAAGGAGGCTCTTGGGTCGGGTAACACCTGGAGCAGAGCAGGGAGAAAAGGTTCACCTGGTCAAGTACCCGGTTTCTCCACCTGGGGGTCATGTTCAGGACAAGGAAATAATCTCTCCAGTGGCACTCTCCGGTGTTCAGAGGTATGTTGCTTCCGTATAGGGAGCCTCCGTTTCTCAGCGTGAAGTGTTACAGGGCTGAAGAGTTGATTAAAAGCACCGGGGAGTTTCAGAACTTATTTTCATGGCCAGTACAGAGCCTACTGCACTACTGCAGAGGTCCCCAACCATTCAGTTGGTGGACATTTTGAGAGTATCATGGGAGCTCTCACAAAATGGCTGCCAAACAAACATTTTACACATTCACAAAATGGCTGCCAGGTAGACAGGGCTGATCACAAAACACTAATTTTCCATAAGGCAAACTGGTGAGACCAAAGGGAAAGAAACTTGCTCAAACACCTAGATACAAGGCAGGAATGGGGTGTCGGCTCCAAAGCACAGTTTTCACACTTTTGAAGCCGATAAAGATGGTAGTAGGGAACAGCACTTCACTTTGCAGCAGCCTGCCTCCCTATTTTAAAAAAAGTTTGATTAAAAAAATTAAGAAATAAATTAAAAAACAGTAGGGGTGGGTGCCCAGAAAGGTACGCATGACACCAGTACTCTGAAATGAAAATAAAGGGTGCCTCTGAGCACATGTAAAGAGACCTTCCCTGTCCTTGTCTGATCATACCCCCACTCTACATGCAATTAGGGAGGCTTCAGCAGCTTTTGGCAATTAAGCAGTGCCCTCTCAGATGCTGGGCCTGCCTTTGTCATGGCAACCATGCCCTACTCCCTGGGTTTCCATGGAAAGGAAAGCACCAGCTTTGGCCCAGCTGTACTGCTCAACCACCACCACCACCCACTCCTCCCAGCCACTCAAGGGGCTGACCGTGGAGATGAATCCAGATCTGCAGTGCATTGACCCAGCGTAATGCCAGCTGTGAGGCAGGCGGGGCGGTGAACTCTAGCTCTCCCAGGCTCCAACACTCTTGCTTTCCCCGCTGTACAAAAAACACTGGAAAAGAGAAAGAGGGGCATGATTGACAGAGTGAGTGAAAGAATGATGGACAGTCAGGCTAGGGATGGGATCAGGAAGGGCCCTGCTTGAATCATAGAAGAGCAGAGCTGGAAGGGGCCAGAGGGCCATCAGATCCAAAGCCCCGCTCAGTGTAGGACTCCACGTTGATTGCACATGTTGCACCAGGAAAGACGCATGTGTGCATGTTCATTTGGCTTCATGTGCAAAAATGTTTCTCACTTTCTCAGTTTTGGAGTAATACTTGCTGAGTGTCCTAGTCATGGTTTCAGGAAAGAGTATTTGGATGCTGCACATCTTCTCTCAAATGCCCTTGGCCATCACCAGTTCTACTGAGGGATGAGGACCCAAATCAAGAAACGTGGCTTGTTTAGAGCATTGCAGTAAAATTTGTATGGCTCAGGGAAATCCCACCTGCTTCATGCAACACTATTTATGTAATCCAAGCAGCTGCTCCTGACTTCATTTAACCCGTGTGCCTTATTAAGTCAGTTTCTTACAAAACAGTTGCAATGTCTTCTATGCTCTCCCTGCCTCTCCAACATTCTGACTCGGTCCCCTCTTCCTCATCCTCACTTCCTTTTTCTCCTTCAGATTCCATCTCCTTGATGCTGGTGGTCTTACTTCTAAACTGCAGACATATTTCTACAGCGTCATTTCATATTATGCAGAAACACAACTCTGTGTGTGAGGACTTGAAACTTTAAATAAATGAAAGGTCAGGTGGTCAGCGACCATAGCGGCTACCAGATTTATTGCACTCCAGAGCTGGAAGGAGAATAGTGGGAAATTTATTCAAGCAGCCCTTGTCCTGCAACAGCTTATCTGACATTAAGAATCCCCAGCCTATCATAACCCTGAACTGAATAAGGAAGCAGATCCCACAGCTGCCCCTGGAAGTGTACTCCACCATGGGGAATTCTGCCTAAGATTGAACTTTACTATTTGATTTTTAAGGCCGAATTTTGTGTTTCCAACTGGCCACACAATAACATGAAATAGCTTGAGTTGAGCCATCCTGCTCACCAGTGAAGCAGTTTTCATTCTCTATGGGGCCCAAGACCTTCTTTGCCTCACTGGCTGCTCCAAGCCTCACAGCAACCATTTCCTGGACAGGAATGCAGAATGCAGGGTCTAGGAGGGAAAGGAGAAGGAGAGATGTGTTACCCAAAGGTCTTCAGTGCTATCATCAGCCACGAGTTTTACAGAAAGGGCATGCTTTGAACTGAGCAAGGAGTATCTGAAGGATTAATAAGCAGTTGCTTCACCTTCTGACTTGCTCCCAAGAACCAGCGTCTAACCTCTAAGCTCTTTAACATATATCCCTTTGGGTCCTTCAACTGCTTGCTCACAATTCATGTTTGCTTGTGCCTCAAATGGTCATTCTAAATAAGCAAGGGGTTACATGAAAGTAGGTGACCATTAAAAATTGCCAAAAAACAGGAAATTCATTTGTATATGTTAACATATAGGGATATTTGTAAATTAGAAAGGAGCCTTAGGGCACAATCCCATGCAAATTTAGACAGAAAAGAGCCTACAGCTCCCAGCGTGTGGAAAATTTAGACCATTTGGACTGTCTAAATTTGCACAAGATTGCACCTTTCAGTAACTTAAGGAAAAATGTGTCTGAGCATGTGCAGAATATTTCCCTTTTATGAGGTAACAGCATCTTCCTGGAAAAAGGGAGTGTCACGCATGTGTAGTGTGACCTTTACCCAAAGTCTTCCACCTTTTCTTTTTGTTTAGTGATCTGTTTATAGAAAATAGGGAATTGGAACACACTACATAGCTTCAGCAACTAACCCAGAGGATGAAAGTTCTGGTCAGGCCAAAGGCCCATGAAGTGCTAAGCAAAGGCAGCCTTCTCTAACTGAGCAGGTGCCGCCACTGTGGATCAGCCTGGAGGATGAGGCCTGAACGAGAATAACCAGTTAGGGTGGCCTCAGTGCCCTCTTTGCTGCAGGGGAAGCTGAGGACGTGACAGAAACTACGGAGAACTGGCCACGTATGGATGACTGCCCAGGAGACGTTTCCTCTTTGAACTCAAGCCCCTCTACCGCAAGGCAAACATTCAAAGCCATTCCTGCAGCCCACTCATGCTCTTTGCCTCCACATTGGGGTGTCTGCCCCCCACCCCGCCTTGAGCAGAGTATGTGTACCATGAGCAATAGCTCTGGGGTCAGCCTGGGGCCAGGTTTCCGTTTTATGCAACTGCCTGCTAGGACAATGCTCTGCTTTGATCACCAGAGTCACAGAGGGAAGGCCTGTCTGTCCTTACAGCCCTTTTCTTTGAGAAAAGGAAGCGCAGGATTTGGAGCCCCCTTGCACAAGACATTATCAGCGGGCCCCCCCCTTGGGCAGGGAGCCTGCCTGCCTTCCTGCCACGTTCTGTCAGTGCACTTACTTCCAGTCAGTAATTCCACCTGCTTGCAACACAGGCAAGGAAGCAGAGAGCACGCAGACTGTGCAGCTCCTGCTCTCCTTTCTCACCTCCCCCAGCGTTGTCTGGCCCAGACCAAGAGGCAGGAGAACAAACAGGGTGCCCTAGCCAGGAGCAGCAGCAATGCAGGGGGCTTTCATCAGTGCAGTCCTGCTGGGCTGCAGTCCCTTGGCAGCCTCCCATCCCTAATCTTGAAATCAGCTTTGACCTGGACAGTCAAAGCAGCCACAAGAAGGACAGGATCTCTAGACAGGGCAGGAAAAGCTCCAGCCTGAAACCCTGGAGAGCTGCAACTGCCAGTCAGTGTCAACATGACTGGGCTGGATAGACCAAGGGGCCTGGCTCAGGATCAGGCAGTTTCCTCTTTATGTGTAACCTTGCACTGATGCTTCTTGACTAAGCTAAAATAATCAGGTGTATCCTAAATTGTTTCAAATAAGGGGCATAACACCATCTTCTTTCATGCTGGGTCAACACAAACTTCTTTCTAAAAGGTACCACCCTACCCATATGCCATTTTCCAACAAAGTAGAATGCATGCTTTTCTTTCCATTTCTCTTCCATAATGCTATCTATCTGAACACAAGGAATATCTGACTCCCAAAATGGTCAGAAATGTCCATGTTCAGTGCAGAAGATTGTGAGATAATGACTCATATAAAGCAGACAGCCTTGTGTCAACCAACATTTTAGGTATGTTCAGGATCTCCTCTGAATTTATGCAGTACTAAGAAACTGTGTCCCCTTCATGGATCACTGCCTTGTCATGGCGAAGGGGCTTGCGTAGCGCAATGAAGCTATGAGCCATGCCGTGCAGGGCCACCCAAGAGGGACAGGTCATAGCAGAGAGCTCTGACAAAACGTGATCCACTGGAGAGGGAAATGGCAACCCACTCCAGTATCCTTGCCATGAAAACCCCATGGACAGTACCAAAAGGCAAAAAGATAAGATGCCGGAAGATGAACTCCTCAGGTCGGAAGGTGCCCAATATGCTACTGGGGAAGAGCAGAGGGCTAGTACTAGTAGCACCAGAAAGAATGAAGCAACTGGGTTGAAGCCGAAAGGACACTCAGTTGCTGATGTATCTGGTAGTGAAAGGAAAGTCCTATGCTGCAAAGATCTATACTCCATAGGAACCTGGAATGTAAGATCCATGAATCAAGGCAAGCTGGATGTGGTTAAACAAGAGATGACAAGACTGAACATTGACATCTTAGGAATCAGTGAACTAAAATGGACAGGAATGGGTGAATTTAATTCAGATGACCATCAGGTATACTACCGCGGGCAAGAATTCCTCAGAAGAAATGAGCAGCCTTCATAGTCAATAAAAGAGTAGGAAAAGCAGTACTGGGATACAATCTCCAAAATGACAGAATGATCTCAGTTCGAATCCAAGGCAAACCATTCAACATCACAGTAGTCTATGCCCCAACCACCGGTGCTGAACAGGTTGAAGTTGACTGGTTCTATGAAGGCCTACAACACCTTCTAGAATTAACATCAAAAAATGATGTCCTTATCATCATGGGGGATTGGAATGCTAAAGTAGGAAGCCAAAAGATAACTAGAATAACAGGCAAGTTTGGCCTTGGAGGACAACATGAAGCAGGGCAAAGGCTGGCAGAATTTTGTCAAGAGAATACAATGGTCATAGCAAACACTCTTTTCCAACAACCCAAGAGACGACTCCACACATGGACCTCACCAGATGGTCAACACAGAAATCAGATTAACTATGTGCTCTGCAGCCAAAGATGGAGAAGCTCTATACAGTCAGTAAAAACAAGACCAGGAGCTGACTGCGGCTCAGATCATGAACTTCTTGTTGCAAAATTTAGGCTTAACCGGAAGAAAGTAGGGAAAAGCATTAGGCCACTCAGGTATGACCTAAATCATATCCCTGATGAATATACAGTAGAGGTGACAAATAGATTTAAGGAATTAGATCTGATAGAGTGCCTGAAGAACTATGGACGGAGGTTTGCAACATTGTACAAGAGGTAGCACCATCCCAAAGAAAAAGAAATGTAAGAAAGCAAAATGGCTGTCTGTGGAAGCTTTACAAATAACTGAGGAAAGAAGGGAAGCGAAAGGCAAGGGAGAAAGAGAAAGATACACCCAATTGAATGCAGAATTTCAGAGAATAGCTAGAAGAGAGAAGAATGCCTTCTTCAATGAACAGTGCAAAGAAATAGAAGAAAACAATAGAGAGGACCAGAGATCTCTTCAAGAAAACTGGAGATATGAAGGGAACGTTTCATGCAAAGACGGGCATGATAAAGGACCAAAATGGCAGGGACTTAACAGAGGCAGAAGAGATTAAGAAGAGGTGGCAAGATTACACAGAAGAACTATACAAGAAAGAGCTTAACGTCCCTGATAACCACGATGGGGTGGTCACTGACCTCGAGCCAGACATCCCGGAATGTGAAGTCAAATGGGCCTTAGGAAGTCTGAGCAACAACAAAGCTTGTGGAAGCAACAGTATTCCAGCTGAGCTATTCAAAATCCTAAAAAATGATGCAGTTAAAGTGCTACACTCAATATGCCAACAAATTTGGAAAACTCAACAGTGGCCACAGGATTGGAAAAGGTCAGCTTACATTTGGATCCCAAAGAAGGGCAATGCCAAAGAATGTTCAAACTACTGCACCATTGCACTCATTTCACATGCTAGCAAAGTTATGCTCAAAATCCTACAAGCTTGGCTCCAGCAGTATGTGGACCAAGAACTACCAGAAACATAGAAACAGAGTGAGTCAGAAGGGGCCTCCCAGGCCATCTAGTCTGACCTCCGGCACTAGCCGGCTCCGCTCATGACATGCCCACCATGGGCATGTCCAGCCTATCTTTGAACACCTGCACCGATGGGGCCTCAACAACCTCTCATGGAAGCCCATTCCACACCCTCAGGGTCCCAACTGTCAGGAAATTCTTCCTGGCATCTAAATGAAACCTTGGCTCCCTGAGCTTTGCTCCGTTGGAGCACGTCCTGCCTTCCTCTGCAGGGGAGAACAGGTCTCTACCCATCTCCATGTGACATCCCTTCACATACCTGTATGTCGCCAACATATCCCCTCTGAGTCTCCTCTTCTCCAGGCTGAGGAGACCTAGTTCCCTCAGTCTATCCTCATATAGCATCCCCTGCAAACCAGCCACCAACCTTGTGGCCCTACACTACACTGACTCTAACCTGGCTATATCCTTTCTGTAATGAGGGGCCCAAAACTGAGCACAATACTCCAGTTGCGGGCGCACCAGAGTCGTATAGAGTGGTAGTAATACCTCTCTTGATCTAGAAGCCACACTTCTGGCTATGCAACCAAGGGTAGCATTTGCCCTCTTGACTACCGCATCACACTGCTGACTCATGTCTAGCCTGCAGTCAACCAGCACCCCGAGGTCCCTTTCACAAGTGCTGCTCTCCAGCCACTTGTCACCTAACCTGTACTTATGACAGCTATTCCTGTGCCCCAAGTGCAAGACCTTGCACTTATCCACACTGAACGCCATCCTGTTGTCTCCTGCCCACTTCCATAGTCTGTCCAGATCCTTTTGGATCTGGAGTACCTGCTCCTCAGTTGTGGCCACTGCTCCAGTTTTAGTGTCGTCTGCGAATTTGATCAGCAGACTGTTCACCCCTTCTTCCATGTCATTAATGAAAAGATTAAACAGGATCGGCCCCAG